CACTGCCCCTCCCACCCCAGCCTCACATGGCAACTAAAGACCGTGCCTCCCAGGCAACCCTGGTGCATCGCTGTTTCCAAATCCCTCCCACACCCTATCCCCTTCTAGGTGTGGCCCTAGGGTTTGTTTGGCTGCCTCAGGGCTTTGCACCTCGGATCCTTTTGCCTGGAAGCCTCCCCGCTCCCTCCTGAGTGCTGGGATCCCTCTCCAGCTGGGTCAGAGTCCTCCCTCCCCTGGTGCTATTAATAAGTTTCTGTGCCTCCTTCAGGGAGCAAGTTGAGGACCAGCCACCCTCCTCCCAGCTCTGGGTTGGCAGAGTTGTCCTCTAGGTGGATGGATGAGACAGTCTGAGGACACTCCACGCTACTCCCACCTGGCTGCCATCAAATCCAAGAAGAGAAAAACCCTTCAGACCACGGAGTGGGGAGGTGGGGTGGAGGCCCTTCCCCAGCTGGCTCCCTCACCTACCTGGGCTGCTGGGACCTGGCAGCGGCACCTTCTTGGAGGCGGGTGTGGGTGACCCCTGGATCTTGGGTACCGGCTGAGCCAGGACAGGCTTGGGAGAGACAGGCGGCTTGGCTGGCTTCCGGGCATCACTGTCCGGTGGGGGCAGCGGGGGCAAGTGCATCAGGTCGGAGGGCAGGGGCTCGGTGGGCGCGGGTGGCGGGGGCAGCTCCAGGGGTCCAGCGTGCTCGGAGCCCCGTCTGCGGCGCACAGTGCCGGTGCCATTCTGGTACACGGACAGTGAGGGCGGTGGCTCTGGACCCGCCTCCCGTTCCTTGGCCTTGGGCCGGCGCTTGACCGTGTCGGACTCAGTCAAGATGAACTTGACATTCTCCTGCTGGCTCTGCTTGGCTCGGATGCGCCTCTTCAGCGTGGCACTGGCCTCCACCCGGGCCAAGGGAGGACCCTCCCCACCTGCCTCTCCCTTGGCCGGACCTCGAGGCCTCTGCCGGGCAGTGCCATCCTCTGCAAAGTGGCCATGATCTGCAGGCCCTGCCGGTTCCCCAGGCCCTCGGCGGGCAGCGGCCAGAAGTCCTGTGACAGGCCCGCTGAGCGTGCGGCGCCGGTTCACCACCTCTCCGTCAGGCCCAATGGCCTCCTTGTGCTTCACGGAGGCCAGCACTGTTGCCACCCTGCCTGGCTCCGGGCTGTCAGGGCGAGGCGTGGGGTGGCCCTCGGGGGGCCTACGGGCTGCCCGGCCCCCACCCCCAATGGATGACAGCTCGAGCATGGCTGCAATGCTCTTCACACTGCCAGCACTGCCCGTGTCCACGCTGCCAGCCAGGTCACTGGCCCGCCGGCGTTGTGCCCGGACCCCCAGCTGGCCATCCTCAGTCCCAGCTCCTTTGGTCTCAGCATCAGGTGCTGACTCATCAGCCAGGTTGGCGCTGACCATGGCTGAGCTGGAGCGCTTAGGCGGAGGTGGTGGGGGCCCCTTTTTCCGGGGCCGCACAGCGAAGGACTGGCTGCGATTGACATTCTTGTCAGCACCAGCAGGTGCCCGCACTGAGTGGCTGCGGCCTACACGCCGCTGGACTGTGGCATAGGGCCCGGCAGCAGCTGGCACCAGCAGCTCATCCCGCTCTTGCTCGCTGTCAGACGCTGTATAGCGATTCAGGCTGTGGGCGCGCTTGGTAGGCCGTTCTGGCTCCACATCGGCCTAGTGGGGGCAGACCACAGCATTGGCACAGGGGCAGGGCCGGGCGGTGGAGGCGGGGGCAGGCCCAGGAGCAGCTGGCCCTGCCTCGCCCTCCACGGGCTGGGGCAGCACATAGGCAAAGCCCCGGTGTGTGGGTGACTGAGGCAGTGAGCGGGGCGACATGGGTCGCTCCATAGGTGGCAGCAGCTGTGGGGTGGGCTTCACCTTGGCTGTGGCTGGGGCTGGACCATGAGGCACCCCCAGGGCCTGGGGGGAACCTGGCCGAGCTTTCGTGGGAGTCTGGGGGGGCGTGAAGGGGCTGGCACCTGGTGGGAGGACCTGCCGTGGCTTGCCGGGCACCGGAGGCACACTGGCCCGCTTGATGCTGTGGCCGTGGCGGCCGGGCCGCGCCTCCTTGGGCAGAGTACCAGGGGCTGGTCCCTCATCCAGGAGGTACTCCTGGCTTCGTGACATAGGGCTGCCAGGCCCCGGGAACCCATCACCCAGCAGCTCCTGAGAGCTGCTCATATGCCGTGCCCGCCCACCCAGACTGGGCTCCTGACGCACAGGGGCCCTGGAGGTGGGTGGCAGGTGATTGGAGGGCTTCTCGGCAGCGGCAGGGGTGGCAGCCCCCTCTGCCGGGCCAGTCATGGCAGCCTGCAGCTCACCACTGAGCTCGCTGTCCTGGAAGGTGGTCATCTTTGGAGACTGGCACTCAGCTGGGGCAGGCTCAGGAGGGGGCGGCGACTCAATGGCCATCACTTCCAGAGACTGCGGCGCCTTCTGGCGCAGAGGTCCCCCTTCATACTTAGCGTACTCGGCCTTCTGCAGCTCTGCCAGTTTCCTCACTGCCAGCATCAGCTTCTTCTGGTGTCCTGAGTGGGGTATGGGGCAGGTCAGGCCAGGGAGAGTGGCAAGGACCAGGAAGTGGTGGGGGCTGGAGCCTCACCCAGCTTGGTGATCCCGATCTCCTGCAGGTCCTCCCAGGTGATGTCGGTGATAAAGTCGATGTTCTCATAGCCATTGTCCACCAGCACCTTGTAGTACTGGGCCAGGCCGATCATGGACAGCCACACAGCCAGGTTAGCCTATATACAGAGCAGGGGACACAGAGGGCAGCCAGAGCTGGCTACCCACAGCCCGTCGACTACTGGGAGCTGCTGGGGCAGGGGCATCGGGCCAGCCCGGTACAGACAAACAGAGGACAAACCAACAGAAGTGTCAGCTCTGGAGACAGCGCAGCCTCGGCAGGAGCCCAAGTCCAGCTCACGTGCACGTGCAAACACACACAAACACGCACACACAGGGCAACCCTATCTTCAGGACACCGTTTGGGAAAGACTGCACTTCCTCCTCACCTGTCCAGGCAACCATGGGGACAGCACCCAGTGGACACACACCATACGCCAAGGACGCAGATACACAGTACCACCAACCAGATACGTGTACACGCATACCCTGGATCACAGCCACACACGGGCACTGACTTCCCTCTGTGTCATGCTCACACCCTCTCACAACTTCCCACCCGCATCAGGCACAGTCACACGGCCACATCACACGTGTGTGCAAACAGCCATGGGAGTCTTCACCCAGCACCGCCCAGTGGCTTCCTGACTGGCATCCACCTGTCCACACGCCCAGCAGGGCATCGCTAACGCACCAACGCACAGCATATCCGCAAGAGCCAATGAGACCCCTGGGACCCCGACGTGCTCACCGGGAGGACGGCTGAGCCACTGACTGAGTGCGGCAAGGCAGATGTTCTCAACCTACCTGTCCCTGACCCACAGCCCCGGGGGCTTTTGGTGGTCATGGCATCGCCCCCATCAATGGATGGGGAATCACAGCTCTGCGTGAGAACCAGAGAGGCAGCATTGAGGCAACAGGCCCTGAGCCTACCTTCTCCTGGCCCAGAACCGGTTCCACCATATGAGTGCCTGTCAGTAATAGCACGGCCTGCAGTCGGAGTGGGTGTCAGCTGTCAACACAGCTGGCACGTGCAGTTAAATGTGTGGGTGTGTGCGTGCAGTCATCAATGGGCACCTTGAATATATTTAGTGTGCGTGTGCTGTCTGTGTACACGGAGCATGCACACTCACACATCTTCCCCACGCACATGTGTGCAAGCATATCCCATCAATGCAGGCCCCTCTCTGGTGTCTGGGTAGGTGTGCAAGGGGCAGCGTTGCTGGGGTGCCGGTGTCCCTGTGTGACTGCCTGAGTATGGCGGGGGGAGTGGAGAGAGGTATTCTCCCTTCACCCTGATTCTCCCTTCACCCTGACGGCTCTCACAGGTTGTCACCCCCGTTCCTGCCTCAGGAAGGCCGGTCCCAGTGCCTGTGATGGACAAACGTCGTCCAGGTGGGCCACGCTGAGGGACCGTCCTCTGGTCTCCACTCCCTGGAGCTCCAGAGGGCAGCTGAGGGCTGCAGCCAGGGAGGCAGTCTGTCTGTCTATCTGCCCATCCTGGGCCCAGCCACAGGGTGCAGGGAGCCTTACGGGTTTGTGCTCAGGCAGCCAGTCGGGGATGCTGAGGCTGCTGATCTCTGCCGTGATCTTCTTCCGATGGCCTGGTTTGGTGACCCCAATGGCCGTGAGGCCCTAGTTAGAGGAGCAGCCTGTTAGCTGGAGGTGGGGGATCTGTTTCTGGGTCGTGGCTGGTGGCCAGCCGTTGGGCAGCTCACCTCAGGGGTCATGCGGCTGATGGTGGGCAGGTCGTAGCCAGCGCTGAGGAAGTTGGGGGCGTACAGCTGCAGCTGGAACGTGGCGAGCCACTGGCTCACAGCCTCAGCGCTCTGGAAGACACAAGGCACCGCTGCAGGCCCGCCCACCCACCCACCCGCCGGGCGCACACCCCAGCCGCCACGGTGCCTCCTCTGTGTCAGTCTGCCGTCCACGGGTCCACGTGCAGCTAGGCCCCAGTCAGTCTGGCACCGGTGCTCCCTCCTCACTCTGTGGTCCTGGCTGCCGCTGTCTCGAGCTCCGCACGGCACTGCAGCATCGCTCTGTGTTCTCCACCGGGAAGGCTCAGCTGCTTCTGACCATCCCCCCCCATTCCTGCACCAGGGACACCCTGCAGTGTGGCCCCAGGTGAGGTTCTAGGATGGGGCCTCGGCACTGCCCCTCACTCCCTGGAAGGTGAGCTTTGCCCAGAAGTTTGCAGGACTCAGCCAGCAGCTTCCACCTTCCCCAGCACGCAAGTCATGCACACAGGACCCACCTCACCCATGTACACAACTCGTCTGGTCTCACACGTGCCATTTCATACACACGCACACATGCACACGTGCCCGCCTCACAGTCACACCACACACACAGGCACACCCTCGTTCACCTCACACCCGTGCACGCTTCTTACACATACTAATTCACACGCACAGCCCACACAATAGACAACACCTACACACACAGACTGAGACAGACAGAAGGAGGGGGCTAGCCTGTCAAGAGCCCCCGGCTGTACTGTGGCCAGGCCAGGCAGGCTGCCCCGGGCACCCCTCCCTGCTGCCAGCCCAGGCCCTGTACCTTGCCCTCCGATGCCGGCTCCAGCTTCTTGGACGGCAGTTCCGCATAGACCTGCCCAGCATGGGCCACTGGAGGCTGGGACCTGGCCGCCCCTGGGGATGAGAGGGCACGGTGGGCCAAGGGCTGCTCAAAGGCTACCTGTCAGCCAGGACAGCAGTGCTGCCTCCTTGCTCTTACCTGCTGAGCCCTCCAGAGGCTTGACGGGGCTGTCCCCGGGGCTAGACTCGGAGATGGACTTCTGGGAGAGCACTGTTGCCAGGAGCTGCAACCCAGACAGATCAGCTGGCCAGCGCTGCTCTGGGCCCAGGCCACCCCGGCCCCGTCACCACCCCACCTACCTTGACCCCTTCAGAGCCTGCGTGCAGGGTGTGGGCCCCGCTGCTCCGGCCAACAGCCACACTGCTCAAGCTGCCACTGCGGTCTCCACCTGCCAGCGCAAGGGAGCATCAGCCAGCGCTGGCCCCGCCTAGCTTGGGAGCTGCCTTGCGGAAGTACTGCTGCCCCGCCCTCCAGAGGCCCCCACCTACCTGCAAAAGGCTTCCTCAGCACCCAGATCTCCTCAGGGGGTGCAGAGGGTCCCGGCAAGCTGCCTCCCTGAGGTGAGCTTTGCTCAGCACCTGCTCGGGAACCTGTGGGCCAACCATAGCCTCCCTGAGTATTGGACCAGCCCAGGCCTGGGAGCCAGATACCGAAAGGAGGGCGTCCCCTGGCCCAGCCCCAAGCCTAGGTGAGGCCCAACACATGCATGCCTCAGGGGTAGGGTCAGCACAACAGTCTCCTCCTGCCCTGAGAGACCCTTAGAAGACCCCCTCCCCACACGGGACATTGGAGAGCAGGAGCATGTGGCAGAGAGGAGCCCACACCAGGCTATCCGGCCAGCTTACCAGTGGCCCTGCGGTCCTGTTGGGGGAGGGGTGCAGATTGCCAGAGGGTGAAACCTCCTCTGTGCCAGGGGAACAGGGCGGAGGAAAGAGGCACCCAGGAGCCTGGGGCGAGGCTCTCCACCCCAGAACTAGTGGGCAGACTAGCCGCATCACCTAACTGGACCACTCTCTCTTTTATCCCACCTGTCCATCTCTGTGATCTCACCAGTCCCCTGCCTGAAACCACTCCATGGCCCTGTGGCCATGTCCTCACCCCTCTCCCTCTCCCTAACTCTGCGCCGGCCATGCTGGCCTCCTATGGACCCTTACACACATCACAGTCTTTCCTGCCTCAGTGCCTTTGCACATGTGGTTCCCACTGCCTGGATTGCTCTGCCTGTAGCCAGTCCCTTCCATTTCTCAGGGCCTCCTCTGACCACCCTGTGGTCTCCATCCACATTCTGTGCCATTGGCTGGTGTGTTTCATTCTGTGGTTACTTCACTGTCCCCTGCTCCCCTCCCTCCCTGGGGGCAAGCTCCTTGAAAGCAGAACCGATATCCATCTGAGTCGCCATCTATTCCTAGTGGTCAGTGTGCAATGTCGGTTGAATAAATGAAGGAATGGGCATGAGGACACTGAGGAGACAGCTGCAGGACACACTTCTGAACACCTGCACCCAGCCACGGCCAGAGCTCGGTCCTCGCCCTGCCATCCGACACACATGTGCACTTCCTTCCTTCTGGCCCCCAAGCCCAGGCCTGGGTAGGACTTGCCTGCTCGCTTGACGATGGCCTCGCCCAGGGAGGATGGGAAGTAGCCCACCCGGTCATTGCCTGTCCGGTTGTCATGGATACAGCCCTTCCATCGGCCATCTGGATGCTGCTCAAGGACCTGGTCAGATGAGGTGGGGAGAGCACACGCAGGGAGACTTCTGGGTCAACTGGCTCCCCAATCGCTGAGGGGGAATGTGGGGTGAGCATCCCGGCTCCACAGCCCCGGGCCATCCTTACTGTGATGATATCCCCGGCTTTCACGTTGAGGCTGGTCAGGTCATAGTTGTTGCAATAATCTTGGGTCGCCCGGACCTGCAGAGCCGCCGAGGCCTCTGGGGACACAGGAGGTAGACTCCCCAGTCCTTCGAACCAGCCTGGCCCGGGCCCCGCTCCAGATCCCCTGCCCCACCTGGGCCCACCTCGCAGCAGCTGCTTGATCTCCTTGCTGGCCTGCGACGTGGTGAACTGGTGCACGATGTCCAGGGCCGTCTGGCTGTATGTGTTCCTCACGTGGGCATTGATCCCATTCTGCGTGGGCCAGGGGGTGAGGTCTGTCAAGAGCACCCCGTTCTCCCAACCCTGCCTTGGACCCAGCTCCCCCTGGGCCTCCAACTAACTCACGTCCAGCAGCAGCCGAACCACTTCTGTCTTCCCACAGAGCGCAGCCTCGTGCAGGGCTGTGCCCGACTTGGTCTGGCGGTTAATGTCAATGCCAGCTTGGAGCAGGAGTCTGGCGGGAAGGCAGGGGGAGCAGGCGGGGCCTACAGCAGGAGCCCTCGGCCCCAGCACCCCAAAGCTGAGCCCCGATTTCCAAGGGCCTAAGGACTGACCAGCCCTACCCATCTCCCTGACAACATACCTGACAGTGACGAAGCACTTGTGGAAGTGCCCGCCCTGTGCTAACCCTTCACAGCAGCTACCTCGTCTTTTCCCACTGGTACTGCTGTGAGGCCCATGGAAAAGCTGAGGCTCAGAGAGGTTAAGTGTATCCACGAAGTCACCCAGCGAGTGACAGGGCTGCAACAGAGCCCAGGCTATGTGGCTATCGATGCCCACTCCCCACCCCCTTCTAGCACATCCCTCATGTGGGCAGCTGGAGGTGCCCGTGGCATCCAGAGGCCACAGCTCCGAGACTGCTCCCATCTTATCACCAAGCCAGGAGCAGAGCCCCAGAGCTGGGAACCCCACCCCCACAGAACCATACCTGATGATGTCAATGTGGCCGTTCTTGGCTGCCAGGTGCAAGGGGCTGGTTCCATTGGGGTCGGTGGTGTCCCCCGGCCGGGGCTCCAGCAAGGCTGTGCACATGTTGCTGCTCAGGAGCAGCTGGACCACCTTGAAGGAGGGGTCAGAGTAGGGGGCACCCAGAAACAGGCCAGGGGGTTGCAGGTCTGTCCCCGACTCCAACCCCAGAAGAGGCAGCAGAGCAGATGGAGTGGCTCTCAGCTCCTGGGAGACTTACCCCAACACGGCCGAACTCGCAGGCCAGGTCCAGAGGCGTCTTCCCGGCGCTGTCCACCATGCACGGGTTCGACTGGTGCTGCAGCAGCATCTCGGACTGCGGGTGCAGAGTGCAGTCAGCCCCGTGCTGCCAGGCTCACGCCTCCCACACGCGCAACCCCCGAGGTGGTCCTCACCACATCATAGTGACCGTGCTGGGCCGCTAGGTGGAGGGGGATGTGGCCCTCATCTGATGGGATGTTCACCGCTGAGCCTGCCTTTAGCACCAGCTTCATGGGCTCCTTCCGGCCCTGCCAGGCCGCATAGTGCAGTGGCCGCATGCCTGGGGGCAGGCAGGAGCCACTGGGAGCTGGTCTCTCACCCTGAGCCCACCCCTGACCTCTAGGATGCAGAGCCCATGAGGACCTGCCTAGACCCAGCCTGAGACCCTGGGTGGAGACCTCAATTGAAGAACCATCCAGTCCTCAAGGGACCCCTGACCTCAACCCATCCCCTTGCTCTAAGGTCCCTGCCAGGCCTTGCCTTTGTTGTCCTTGATGTCTACGGCAGCTTGGGCCTCCAGCAGCAGGGTGATCAATTCCGTGTTGCCATTCAGGGCCGCGTGGTGCAGGGCAGAGAAGCTGGGACAGGTGACAAACACATATGGGCAGGGACTCAGGCACCCAGCCTCCCCCAGAAGCCCTTTTGCCCCCATCCCAGACTGGCATTGCCCTGCCTGAGAACTCACCCATCCGGGTCCTGAAAGTTGACATTGATCTTCTTGGTGGAGCCCAGGAGCTCTGGGAGTGGGAAGGAGACACAGTGAGGGAGGCTCTGCCCAGCCCCTCCTGCAGTCAGCCTGGGCCCTAGCCCACTCCAGCAGCTTAAAAGCAGGCAGAGGGTGCTAGCTGGCTCCCTGGCAGGCTCAGAGCCAAAGCCATCTAAGGGTTTAGTCTAAAAAACATTCATTCACTCACTCAACTCTGTTCCCTGCGCTCAGCTCCAGCTTTTTAGACCTTGGTTTCCCACTGAACTAAGATGTTGGGAGGCTCACAGGTCCAAGGTCTCAGGCCTGGCGCTGCCTGCGGACAGAAGCCAGGACGGCGCACCCACACAGGCACACACATGTGCACACGCATCCCCGGCCGACAGTGGGAGGGAGAGAGCCGGCCCAATCTGTCTTTCAGAAGGACCCAGATGGGCTGGGGGTGGCCCGGGAAGGCTGGGACACCCAGAAATGAGGGTATCTCTGAGGGAAGAGCTGCCTTTCCACGATGCAGCCTCCCCCACGCCCAGCCTTGGGGCTGGCCAGTGTACATGAGCCCCACTCAGCAGGGCAGGAAGGGAAGGAAGGCGATTGGGCCAGTGCCTCTGAGTGACCACATGAGAATGGCCACCTCGTATACATGCTCCGGGGCACACTCAGGTCCTAGGATTCACCACCGGGAGCCCGAGGGGCCCAAGTCCTCCCTTCCGGGCTCTAGTCTCCTCCTGGGGCCCCCAGAAGCTGCCTGCCAAAAGGAGGGGGGCCCTCCGACACCCTCCCCGTGGGCTCAGGTCCAGCCAGACTCAGGCCAAGCCCCTGCCTGTCGAGGCCATGGTTACATAACCTATTTGTGGGTCAGTTGCTCTGTGAGGGAGGGAGGGGCTGGCAGGACAGAAGCCCCTTTGTCCAGGCCCAGGGCAGGGATGGGGGCAGGGGGGCCCAAGGACAGGGAACCAAGGGAGTCGAGGCACAGAGGGGCTGCTGCAGGGCAGCTCAGTGCGGGGTGTAGGCCCCCCAGTGGCCCACAAAGCACACAGTCAGACAGGCCCAAATCCGAACTCTTCCTCTGCCCCTCATACTACCCCTATGGCCTCGGCAGTGAGCTCGAGGGGGGCTAACGAGGCTGGCCTCGGAGACCTGAGGACGTTTCCAGACAGAAAGCATGAAGGGTTCAGCAAGGAGTCGGCTCAGTGAGTGGCGATGACTAATATTAGCTCTATGGGAACCCCACCCACACCCTCCAGTGATGGGGGCTTCTCCTGCCCAGAGCAGAGGCTCCAGGAAGAGGGGCCTCAGCCCTCCCTGCCCCTGCCCTCTGCTCAGACACTGCTGGTGCCGAAATCCATCTGTCTCGGCAGCAATGCCACCCTTCCTCAGTGGTCCAGGCCAAACCCTGAGTCCCTCCTTGACTACCTTGAATCTCCTCCATCGGTGAATCCTGCTGGCTCTGTCTTTAAGACACTCTCCGAGCACACTCAGGATCTACCACTTCTTACCACCCTGGGCCAGGCCAACATCTCCAGAGGAATCACTGCCATCACCTCTCCACGGGTGCCCTCACTCCCCCTTGGCCCCCTTCAGTCCACCCTCCATCCCCGCGGGAGCCCTGCTAGAACACGGTCCGATCCGATGCCTTTGCTCCTCTCCGGAAGACCCCCCAACAGCACCCGTCTCGCTGGACAGTGGCTCTGCATGATGCGGCCCTTGGACTTCCTCAGCACCCGTTCCAGCCACATAAGGGCGCTCCAACACATTGGCCACCCTGCCACTGAAACTGCACATGTTACATACATGTGTGAGGCTCTTCTTCCGCCAGTTATTCCGAGGATTCCTTATCTCATGTCCGTTAGGTCTTTATCCACATGTCACCTGCTTGGTCTCCCCATCTAAAACAGTAACCCCCCACCCACCCCAGGTCTGTTGTAGATTTCTCCTTAGCCCCCATCACCACCATTGACCTGGTTCATTGTCCATCTCTGTCACTAAACTGCTGGCTCCAAGAGGACCAGGTTTTATTTGCTCACTGCTGGATCCTTGGTGGCCGAAACAGCGCCGGGTACATACAAGGTGCTCAGTAAATCAGAGACTGAAGTCATATCCTAGTCCCACACTCTGTCCACCTGCCAGGGCCAGTGTCAGGCATGTGACCTGCACAGTCGCGCCGAAGGGCCCCCCATCTGGTTGGATGCTCTGCTTGTCATCATCTTAAATTCTTTTTTTGTTGTTGTGGTTGCTGTTCCCATAGAAAAATTTTATTGACTCAAAGGGAAAGCTCTAAAAAATGTACTAATCTTTTCCTAATAAATATTATGGGATTTCTAAGCCTACATTATGCTCAATACTTTTATCTGTTTACAGAGTGCTTTCTTTAGTTCTTTGAACAATTTTTTTAGAAGCTGCAATGTGAGAGTACAGTGGGGCCTTGACTTACGAGTGTCCCGACTAACGAGTTTTTTGAGATACCAGCTGTCTCTCGGCCGATTTTTTGCATTGAGTTGATAGAGTAATTTGAGTTAACGAGCTCCTTAACAAGCTCGGTCTCGGACCAAATTAAACTCGTAAGTCAAGGCCCCACTGTATATTAGGATAACTCTGACTAAAGAGATACAATACAGCCCTAACCGGTTTGGCTCAGAGGATAGAGCGTTGGCCTGTGGACTGAAAAGTCTCAGGTTCGATTCTGGTCAAGGGCATGTGCCTTGGTTGCGGGCACATCCCCAGTAGGGGGTGTGCAGGAGGCAGCTGATCAATGTTTCTCTCTCACATCTCTCATCAATGTTTCTAACTCTCTATCCCTCTCTCTTCCTCTCTGTAAAAAATCAATAAAATGTATTTAAAAATAAAAAAATAAAGAGATACAATACAAATGATGAGATGTTTTATTCCTTAACTTTGAAACCTCCCTTATTTCTGGCCTATTATAGAGCACATATCTGCAGCTGTTCACTCACACTGCTATTTTAAATTCTGAATTTTGGACAAGGCACCCATGTTGCACTGGGCCCTGTGCCGCAGTTCCTTATTCCGTTGAAGACAGTGATGCCCTGGCCAGTGTGCTCAGTGGCTAGAGTGGGCCGGGTGCGTGCCGAAGGCAACCAATCCATGTGTCTCACATCAATGTTTCTCCTTCTTTCTCTCCCTCCGTCTCTCTTTCCCTCCCTCCCTCTTTCCCTCCCTTCTGCTCTCTTTAAAATCAATGGAAAAAATATCCTCAGATGAGAATTGAGAGAGAGAGAGAGAGAGAGAGAGAGAGAGACATGGCTGTCCTGTAGCACCTCCCACCCTGTCCAGGATCACACACTCAGGACATTTTCAAACCCCCCCCCCCCCATCTCCACACACACCTTCCCAATCCGAATGTTTGCCACCTACCACTTTTCTTAGTTCCAGTTCTTAGTAGCCAGTTCTCAGCTTCTCCAGCAAGACTTCCCATCCAGCCCCCTTTCCTCCCTCCCACAGCAGATGCCTTCCAGGCAGCCGCTGAGCCAGGTCCATACTTGTTGAAATTTCAGAGGGCCTGGAGGTCAAGGCCCAGGAAGTGACTCGGTCGCCAGTGGAGGAGGAGTCTCCATCCCAAGGGGGATCCCTCCTCCCATGAGGAGGGGCATCAGGGTAAGGTCATCTCACCCTTCTCCCTGCCACTGGTCTCCTCAAGGAGGAAAACAGCTGGACTTGGATGGAGGGGAGCTTGAGGTTTTGGAATAGTCACCTGATTCCTATGGGAGACACTGAGCACGGAGGAAGGTCCCAGAACTGACCCCTGCATGGGACTGGGAGGCTGAACCAGGTGGAGACAGGTGCTCTGAATGAAGCTGGAGCAGAGCACGGCTCTGGGGGGAGGGGGGAGCTGGGTAAGGGTGGGATAAGGGGGCAAGTGGGGACCAAGTTGAAAGTCTTAGGCGCCCCCTTTCCCTTTCCACAAGGGCACTGAGCCTATGGATTCCGCATCCGTAACAGCGCATAAACTTTGCCCCCCACCCTCCCCCCACCACATGACTTCAGTCTCTGATCACCTCTGACCTCTAACTGCTCTCCTGGAACCATCTCTACCTTTGAGGTCAGCTCCAAACTCAAGGCTGCAGAGGCCCCGCCCTTCTCCCACCCTCATGGCCTCCCTGTACCCCTCTGCCCAGATGCTCCTCCAACTACAGAGGCCTCTTATAGGCCACCCCACGGAGCTACTTCTTCCCCTACAGCAGCGGTTCTCCACCTGTGGGTTGCGACCCCTTTGGGGGTTGAACGACCCTTTCACAGGGGTCGCCTAAGACCATCGGAAAACACATATATAATTACATATTGTTTTTGTGATGAATCACTATGCTTTAATTATGTTCGATTTGTAACAATGAAATTGGGGGTCACCGCAACATGAGGAACTGTATTAAAGGGTCGCGGCATGAGGAAGGTTGAGAACCACTGCCCTACAGGGATGTGGTCCTGGTCTCCTCCGGTCCCATCTCAGAGCAGCTGAGCCCTATGGCCTCCCTGGGGCAAGGTGCCCGCCCAGCTTCTCCAGGGAAGCAGGGCCAGTGCTTGCCACCTACCACTTTTCTTAGTTCCAGTCCAGCCCCCTTTCCAACGGCCCCCAGGCAGGGGACTCTAGGTCAGATGCTGGAGCGGAACGATTAGTGGGCCAAGGTGAGAGAACACAGGAGCACTGGCCTGTAATTTTCAGGAAACTCAGAAAGGGAGAGTTGGGCCAGCAGGAAGGCAGGGTATCCCCCGCCCAGCATAAGGCCAGCTCCCGCCCAGTATTTTCCCTTCTTCCCCTCAAAGACAACTGCTAAGGTGCTAGTTCCTGTGTGTGTAAAGGGAGGCGCCCTTCAAGGTGGGATGGGGGGCTGACCGAGCCTGGGGCCACACTGGGGGGCTGGGGCCAAGGGGAGGTGCCAGCACAGGAAGGAGATCATGGGAACAAGGTTATGAAAATACCTCTGGAGTCTAGTGGGCCCTACGGAGCACTGCTGGGTGCCCCCCACCCCGTGGCCCAAACTCCAGCTGTACTTTGCTGAATCAAAATACATCTTACTCCAAAGCAGGCCAGCGTTGTCATGACGACTGAGCTAATTCATGGAGGGATTTCTCCGTCTGACTTATTAAGCCCGCTCC